GGTCTTTAACGATTTTGGTAAGATTTAAAATTCTAAACCCCCAACATGAAACAACATCAAAATATCTGAAACTAAATTAAAATTTTTCACGGAAGTTTCAATTTCGCAGAGCAAAGTTTTGTGTCATCACAATTTTTCACAAATCTCGTTTCCTTTGAGGCATCTAGAAGGAAAAATTGTTTAGCAAAATATTTCACATTTCATGCTTTTGCAACACTCCATTTACAACTTCATAATTTTTTTAACCTTTTGTTTCCTGTAAACTCAATTTCACACCCTGCTCTGTAGCATTGTAATGTATGGAAACGTGTGTGAAAATGAGTTTTCAACAATCACCGGCCCACCAGCGGCCGAGCGGTAAAGTCGCTGAACACTGGTAGTTCTGTCCGAGGTTCGGATCCCGCGAACAGGCTGGCTGCATGGGTGTTTTCGTGCTTTTCCCCATGTGTAACGTGTATACGAGCCAGTTTCTATTAGAAAGTCCTCCACGAAGACACCCTTCCCTTAGGCAGATAGCCCTAGTGTGCTTTGCCATAATTAAATACACCAACAATTACCTGCTAACCGAAATCATGCATGTTAATAACTTAGACACACTAGACCTAAGCGACACCCTACTATAAGACAGTAACAAATGTTTTAAGCTTCATTTTCATTAAATCTTACGTATTGACTGAAGTGTCTAACCTTTAACATCTTAAAATTCACTACACGAGCTTTTACTTTATTTCAAATCATTATCATTTCCTAGCTTTAAATTTATCGTACACAATATCGGAACACTTAACTTTTACAAAACAGTTAACAAACATTCTTCATGAAAAAATATTTAAAATTCATTTATGTTCAAAAGGTTACTCAGTTTGCATTTTATATCATAATGTACATTAGCTGCGACTATCCGTTCTGCAAATGTGGCGAAATTTCCTCAATACAATTTCTTGCATCAAGATCACAGTATCATGTTTATGTTAAAAACTAAAATCCTTCACGGTACGTGCACAATTACATTAAAAAACATGTTGCTGAACAAAATCTAGGACTTCCTTGTTTTCGCAGAAATTCCTGCAGGAACGGGAAAGTATTCCTGTGATGAATCCGTAGTTTTCTTCTCGGGCTTTGGCGCTAAAGTCGCTGAACACTGGTAGTTCGGTCCAAGGTTTGAATCCCGCGAACGGGCTGGCTGCATGGGAGTTTTCGTGGCTTTCCCCATGTGTAACATGTATACGAACCAGTTTCTCTTAGAATATCCTCCACGGAGGCATCCCTCCCTTTAGGCAGATAGTCCTCGTGTGTTTTGCCATAATCGAATAAACCAAACGAAACCTTCTCGGGCGTTAACTTCCTGGCTCCTCAACTGGAAGTTTGCTCTTCGGGGCTCTGTCTTTTATTCGTCTGGAATTTCTCTGCGGCAGCGGGAATTCTGGTGTTATACGGCCAGTTTTTTGCTACTTGATGTCGGAAATCTCCTCTGGTTCGCTTGGAACTTCACACGTGGGACTGGCTCGTCATCCATCGATCGCTTGGAGCGTAAATACTGGCTTGGTTGTCCTGATCTTTTCCTGTCTTTGTAAGCTTCTGTCGTAGTTGGGCCTCTCGCTTGTTGACCTCAAAACCGTCATGGTGATCACTCAGTTGGTTGCTGCATCTGAGAGATCTTTGAACTTTTCTTTGCCTTTTAGATAAGTTTCTGTTTTGTCTTCTTGGCCCTCTGTTCTTCGTAGCTTTGCTTTTTTTAGTCTCGCCAAACTTACGTTTTTTTTCCTCTCTTTATCATCATTTTCGGCTGCCTTTGTTTTTCTTTGCGAACCTTGTACTCCGGGTGTTGATGGCGTATCCATTGCATTTCAAGATGGCCGTTTGTTGTTAACACTGGGTGATTTCCTCGAAACATCTTCTAGCCGTTGCCTATAATAGCTCATAATAGCGTTTGATATTTTCGACGTTGGCGTTTTTGCTTTCACTACTTGGTCTTTTCAGAAATTCTACCGCTTCCCTTATTCGCTCAGTTAAAAATGTGTCTTCGAACTTATTACAAAGCTTCCCAGTCTTTCCTTCTAGTGCACATGAATGAGAATGTTTAATTTTCCAGACTCTATCTCCGACTTTAAAATGAACTTTGCGCATTTTCTTGTCATAACAAAACTTTTGTTTCGTACTTGCCTTATCCACTAATTTCTGAATGTTTGTCATCTTAATTTCCGCAGACTTCTTTTGAACAAACAACAAAAACTGATCTAAAGGCGTAATTAACTTCCTGCCAAGAACTTACACCAGTGTCTTCCCGGTAGTTATCACGTTTAGCTGTCCTCAAGGCAAATGAGAGTTCATTGACACAAGTCATTCCCAATATTTGTGATAATGTTTTACATAGCTACGGATAATTTTACCTACGTAACTATTCACCTACTCTGCAATATTCGACTGTGGTGAACCATCTTAAAATGTTGTATGCAAAGACCAGTACATATATCCTCAAAAATTTGAGTAACGAATTATTTTCAGTTGTCTGACATCATTTTAAGCGTAGCTTCATCTTTTAATATAAATTTATTTAAAAATAAATCTGCAATAATTTTAGCAGAAACTCTTTTGAGGGGAATAATTTCTATCCATTTGAGAAATGATCAGCGATTACGAGCAAATACCTATTTTTGTTCCTTTCTTTACTACGTGAGTGGGAACATAATAGGTAAATTCCTATTGATTAGTTAGGGGAAGTAGTTTTTATGCTATTTAGATACGCAGCCGGGTTATAATTAATATCATTAACTAACTGAAAATGTTGTTACAAATTGTTGTAGCTGAGGCAAATAAACAGCTTCCCTTACTCTCTGAACTTTTTTCCTTATTGCGAGATGGCCTGAAACTGACGCATCATGCAATTCCTGAAAAATCATAAATTCGCTGGGATTTCTAATTTATGGTCTCAATTAATTTATTATCATTTATAACTTTGGAGTAAAACAAAAGATTATCCGTTATATCATAATTTGCAGCTCTGTTTCTAATGCTTCTCATATCAAGGTGTTCAAAGGGGGTCGGGATCTTTCAGATACACATAAATATGTTTAAATTTCGGGTCTCTTTATACGCTGTAAATATTTCTCGAGAATCTAAATTTTCTGAAGTTATAAAGCATATTTTCATCTCATTCCCCTCATCATCTAGTTTGATTCTTGCTAGAGCATCGTCCAGTGGCGTAGCTAGGGTAGGGCAAGGGGGGACATCTGTTCCCGGGCGCAGCATCCAAGGGGCGCCAAACTGATGCTACGAAATGTTTTAATGAATGTTTTCCATTCTTAGCCAACTTAGCGTTAAAACAATTGTGTAGCCTTTGGTTACTAGACTTAGTTTCAATTTGAAATTTGAATTTACTGTTACTGTAAATTGCATCGCCACAGCTGGTTGGCTAATCTTGTTAAGCACGTGACGTGCATTTATGTTCATACTCGACACTTTGTAGTTCTTTCCAGACGCAGGGATAATTCGCTTAAAGTTTGTTAGGAGTTTGATGCTGGGTTATGCTACAAAACAAGTTAAACGTTGTAATCTTAAATGACGTTTCCAAATGCATTACTTAATTATATACATTTTTAACTTAATGAATATTTCTAATGTAATAAAAAAATTTTCAGATTGTATTTTCTATTAATCGTTACTATTTAATATAAAAAAATTTTAATCGTAAACTATATTAAAATAAAATCAGAATTTTTCAGTTTTAGTATTTACGACTTTTATAACAATGGAAACAGCATACTATATTTTGGCTAAAATTGATAAACCGGAATTGATACTTTACTTGAAGCTCTAAACAGTTTTTCATAAAAACATATATTACGATATAATCCAAGATTTCTTAGATTTGGTATTAAAATTTCATGATTGTAATATTCGTATACAATCAGGACTGAGAGGAACATTTTAGATTTTGACTATAAATGATAAAAACTGGGAGTGCTACTTTACTTCTAACACTTAACATATTTTCGTGGAAAAATATAGACCCACTATAGTAAGAGTTTAATCTAAAATAATGCAGCACATAAGTAAGCCTATTTCTGTTATATCTAGACACGATTATTTATTTATATCAAACCGGAGAAGAGAATGATTTTTATATCAGCTTTTCACATGTAGAGCTTTACGGGACTTGAAAAATCAACCTATACTCTCGACGAAATTCGAAATGTGGATCTTCCATTTGCTGACTGGATATATTAACTACTTACATCGTGAAAGCATACAGTAGACCTGGTGGTGATTCTCCATATTTTAGTTCGGACACTACTGTAGAGAAAATTGGGGTTTTCGGAGAGGGAAACATGAAGTAATCAAATTATGTCCCTCCCGAGATTCAGATCACGGGATCTTACAATTGTGCTAACAAATTACACCACGATAACTCGCACGGTGGAATGCTATAATTCCTTACACAGTAGTATAAGTACTTTATGCTGTCGCTGTTATCTAAGGCAAATTTCGCTATATTACAAATCTCTATAATGCAAAACTGTATTATGTATTTGTTGCAAAGTTTCATTTATTAAGAAATAACGAAAACGAAAATTAAAATGATGTTTTCGTGACTTTTTCAAAACATTCGGTGATTATTTAAGTTTTAATTCAATATATAATAACATAATTCCTAGCAAAATTCATGTCGGAATATTTCCCGATGTTTTATGCCTTGTTGCTGCTTGTAAAAGCATGAAAAAGCATCTACAAACATAAATAAGGAAAAGAATGATTTTGTCTCATTATTATTCTTGCCTACGACTTAAGTCGTGCTACTGTTTTGACACCTGTAACTGTCAGGGACATATCTCATATTCATAATTATCTCCAAGTAAATAAGCCTTCGGTTACTTGCGACTCGGCGCCAAATGTGGGAGCAAGGACAAAAATGTGCTGTGAACGCGAAAACACAAACCACACTTTACCTGCAAACCTAACACAGACTTTGATCACAGCTGATAACGCGCAACCATGTCCATTTCATCAGCAACATACCGCGGTTGACAAAACCCATACTTATTAGCTGAGTTAGTTTTTAAGTTATTAGAGTTCACACACGATGTTTTGTAGACCTGATGTTTTTATTTTTAGCAAGGACGTTTCATGATTGATAGAATATGCATTATTTTTCATGCTGGATAAAAATTGGGATATTCTTTGCAGTAGCATTAGCGACAGCTCATACAACAGAGCCATCAATGACAGGTAATATTTAGAACGTTTTTTAAAAATCCTTTTGTTAATAATTCAGATTTCGTTCTAAGCATTATTCATGAAATTTAACTTTTCCATTGCAGACTTTTAGTTATAGCACTGTATGTCAGTACAGGTAACGTTAAATAAAAAAAAGGGGGCTGAGTATTTTAACGTACTTTTTGAATAATTAATTAGTTTTATTAACACTGACAAATGGAAATTTCTTTCTGAATCCAACCGCTGTTATAATTGCTTTTAGGCATTCTTTTATTACAAAATTTCACATTATGTGCCTATAACACGAGTCGGCAATATTTATGGGTATTTTGACACGCATATAAGACACACATACGATGAACATTTACGGGAAGTACAGGAAGGTACTGAATGTAATGTTATTACTGGTAATAGTTTATTATTCATTTAATAGTTGACTGAAAGGAATTATAATTTCTAATGTATTTAAAGTTTAATGAAGGCACTATGTCATACATTTTCAAATTAAACTGAAAATTATTTAAAATTTTCATTTACATTGTTCAGGAAATTTTTCAGTTATCATGACTATATTTATAACTGAAAATGTTTATAAAATAATTAAATTTTAGAACGCTTTATGAAAGCTTCACATAATAGAATGTAGAAACAGGTTACGAATATAGAATAGGTTACGCAACCAAATGTAATAATTTTATCTTAAGATAATGTGGAAAAGCTCTTGAAATCTATCTTACGCTTTTCAGTAAACCTCACATGTTCTTCAAGTCTAAACTAAGAAAAACTAAAAAAAGATTTTAAAATCTTTATTTTTCATTTAAAAGAATTGATCAGTCGAGGGAAACCTCTTCACAAAATTTTTGGAACAGAGTTTGGGTTGAAAATTTGCTTTGCCTTTTTTTCTTTTAACGTATTAGAATCTTAAATGCAACCAACACAGAGTGATAAAATCTCCTAATTTCCTAACAAAACAATAAAATTCATCTGTTCCTATTAAAGGTATTCACTTTTATAAATACTGCGTACAAGCCTGACTTTAACCTGTGGGCATGGAACTCAAAAGGCACACTAAATTCGCCAAAACTAGAAACTTTTGAGATACATTAGACTTTAAAAATTAAAAATCATTCACTTAAAAATAGAGAAAGTATTAGTAATACTTTAGACACTGAATAAGTTTGAAAAACCATTAAATGCAAAGAGTAATCAGTGACAGGTAAACTGTCAACAAAATTTAGTTCTCAGCTATAAAAGACAGAATACCAGACCTTCATTCATGGGGCATTTATAAAATTACTTGTGAATGCGATTTTACGTATGTATGACATAACCTCAGATCTTTAAAACTCTGGACAATCGATAACATACTCAGTGTTAAACAGAAGGAAGTAACAAAGTCTTCACTGGTTTCCCGAAGTTGTTATAAAATCCATAAATTTCATTTTTCGTAACCCAAAGTTATTGCTCGCATTAAGTCGACTCTGAGCTCTGAAATTTTCTTGCATTGCAATCTCGTAAATGACTCGTTTTCATGTCGTTCCAGTCATAGGCCTAAATAAACATGTTTCGAACTCTAACTCTGTTCTTTCGACTGAGCACTACAACTTTCACATCAAGCGCTGCAACTTCCACTGCATTCGAAATCCTAACAGTAACGCTGTGACAAATTTGGACTTAGGTCCAAAGAAACTGCGTAAAGCGATGAATGCTTACTTGTCTCAATGATATTACATCAAATATATTCATTCGCTTAAGAGGTATATTCAGAGCTTAAGGGTATATTACAGACTGTGAGATACAGTTGATGGTCGGAAAACTAATAACTGGAGAGACCTCCGTGAACGATGATCATTTCTTGCGTATGCAGTAGCATGGAGCAAAAGAGAGTAAGAATGTCGACTTAAGAAATACTCAATTATTATTTACTCAGGTATTTCGAACAGTAAAGATTTCATATGCTCCAAGAAGAAGACGTCCAGTGGGTTGAGGTCCAGTGAGTAAGGAGATCAAGCTATAGGTCCGACACATCCGATCCATCGTGCGGGTATGTAGCATTCAAGAAGTCTCGGGCCGTGCTGAAAAAGTATACTGAGGCTCCATTGAGCGTGTGTGTGTGATTATGGCAAAGCCTCGAGGGCTATCTGTCTAAGGGGAGGGATGCCTTCGTGGAGGACTTTCTAAGGGAAACTTGCTCGTATACACGTTATACATGGGAAAACCACGAAAACGCCCATGCAGCGAGCCCGTTCGCGGGATTCAAACCTCGGACCGACTTACCAGTGTTCAGCGACTTTATCGCTCGGCCGCTGGTGGGCTCCATTGAGCATAAACCAAATGGCTCTCTCTCGAGGGGAAGTGGAATAGTCTCAAATAAACTGGTAAGAAGCTAAGTTGATCAAGAAGATGAGAGTTATTTCAAGAAGAGTTGGTATGTTGCGTCGGTCAGATGGTCTGGCAAGACCTAAGGGCTTATCACAATTAAGTTGTCCTAAGCATTGTGGCAGTTTATCGAAGATTGCTAGCAGTGAAAAGGGAAAACCAGTCATCGAAAGACCATACTCAGAATTACAAAATGCAACGATTCCTTTAGGTCAGCGTTCTCCAAATTTTTTTGATCGCGTACCGAAAAATAATCATCAGTTGAATCCTATTTATATAACATGCGACAGGGTGATTATAAATCATGCTAATAGAAATAAGAGGGGTGATAGTACCAATCCAGATGAACAATAATTATCATGGAGGATCGCATTCCACTCTTAGAGACAGAAATTTGAATTAATTAGAATTAAATTAAAATTAAAGACTAAAATTAGAATTCCAACATGAACTTACAACACTGTTGGGTTTGGTTTGGTTTAACGTATTATGGCAAAGCACGCTCGGGCTATCTGCCTAAGGGGAGGAATGCCTTCATGGAGGACTTTCTAAGGGAAATTGGTTCATATACACGTTACACACGGAAAAAACCACGAAACCTGTCATGCAGCAAGCTTGTTCACTTGGAGTCGGACTCAGGTTGGGAGTACCAGTGCTCAGCGATTTTACCGCTCCTCCGCTGGTGAGCCCAACAGTTTTAGAAAAAGGAATGAACGATACCAAAAGTCACACAATCTGAGTTATTGATCAGGGAAAAACTCATATTAGTTGCTCAAAGCGGCTGCCACGCGTGTTGTTGCACAGTTCACACCGGCAAACGGATGACTGGCTCACCCTCTCGAAGATTCCTGGTGTTGTGTTAATTTTGTCTGCGGCACCAACGATTTTTGCTGCGACATCTTCAGTCAAGTCAGCAGGTATTTCGAGCAGTAAAGATTTCATGTGCTTCCAGAAGAAAAAGTCCAGTGGGTTGAGGTCCGGTGAGGAAGGAGATCAAGCCACGGATCCGACACATCCGATCCATCGTGCGGGTATGGAGGATTCAAGAAGTCTCGAACCGTGCTGGAAAAGTATACTGAGGCTCCATTGAGCATAAACCAAATGGCTCTCTCTCGATGGGGAGTGGAATAGTCTGAAATAAATTGGTAAGAAGCTAAGTTGATCAAGAAGATGAAAGTTATTTCAAGAAGAGATGGTATCACCGAAAATTTCTGCTGGTGTTTACGAGGGGTAGTGCAGTGGTGACTGCTGTCAGGCCAAACGTGTTGATTGTGAAGGATGAAAATGTCTTCTCTGCTGAATGTTGTCTCATCACTAAATAATACTAGTGCAAGAAATCGTGGATCGTTATTCCTCATCCCAGGCATCCACTGCACAAAGTCTGCTCAGCGGGTATAATCATCTTGATGTAAATGTTATCGCTAAAGTGTCAAAGTCGTTAATGTGCACATTACCCTAGCTAATCTGTAGATTAATTGATTTGCTATGTTAAAGGGAGGAATGAAGAGTTTTCGGTATTTTACCTAAGTAATGTACACATTAACGACTTCTGTATCGTTAAAGTTTCCCCCCAAAGGATTGTTTTTCTCATTTTCTTTCCCTCTTCTTCCACTTTGCATCTTACCAACTAGAAACTCGCTAATCTGCACATTCCCTACAAGGTGCTCGTTAGACTGAAAATAAAATCTTTGCTGGAACAACAGCAACATTTCTGTTCTCTTAAATTAGCATTCTATCATCAATCAATTAAAAAACTATAATATAAAGAATAAAGTGGTTTAGAATATTATTACAATTAAGGAAATGAATTTGCAAAACATATGATAAAATTATACTCACTTATTACAGCAATCTAAAGATTGGTGACACTTGAAAAGCAGCTGGATTTGGCGACAAGCACACCTGTTTAGGGTGCAATTAAATTTGCAGTAACTATTTTCTGAAACCCTGTCCGATCAACAGTTTTAAAAGTGTCAGTGGCAGCTGTTTGAAGCGTACAGAAACGCTGCTGTTTTCCCAGCAAAGATCTTATTTTCACATTAACGATTGCCTAGTAAGTAACATGCAGATTATTTAGGTAATTTATAGATTACCTAGGTAATTTGGTAAATGAAACAATTTTCCGCAATTTAACGGATCACCCTAGTTAATCTGAACTGATTTTCGCACTTTAGCGGTATTGAGCCTTTTGCAGATAACAGGGTGCAAGCATTCCTAGCGTAAAATATGCAACACAGCTTTCTAAGAAATATCTATTTCGTATGCCACCGCTCGCGTACTTGTGGAAGGAGCTGCTGCAATTCTTTCCAAGACTCGCTGTTCCATTTCTGGAGTTCAGACATTTCGCAAACGTTCTGCATTGCTTTCTGAGATGGGAAATGAACCGGCTTCTCGCAGTCATCAGTCAGCACTGCTGAAGGCTGATGGTTTGGAATACGAGGCATTGGACGCTGCTCGTACAACTTTCGTGCTTCGCATCCATTCCCATTTGCTTCACCGTATTTCAGGTGCATATCTACCAATTCCTCATTTGTGTACTCCGTCAATGCTTTCACGCAACGTTTCGGACAATGTTATCAAGGTAATACTTTAAAGCGTTTAATATTGCGCCGTTTTTAAAGGACAATGTTTGA